TCTAGCTTAAGGATGATGGCTTCTACTTAAGGAGCAGCTATATCTAGAGCAGATGTAATAACTGATAAGACTCTTGCGCTTATTTTCCCCCCATAACCATTTTCTCCCCACTGTTTTCCATTTCAAAAGGTTATATTATGCAAACATTTTTAATTTTTTTTCCTAACTTGCCCTGACACTTTATTAGAAGTTATAGCTGACTTAGTGTCACTACCATAGACATTCATCTGTTCCACCAGAAGTGACCTATTTGGGAGTGCAACCCTTATTAGCAGCTCTAACCTTCCAGGTCCAGGTTGTCCCTCCAATCTTTCTGCTGGAACTCAACAAGAGATTCTGTTTGGAGAGTCTGCACAGTGAACACAACCATGTTTATGCTCTCAAGGTCACTACACAGTTGGTATTATCTCAGCGGAGCTTGAAGAAAAGCTCATTGAATTCAGACCTGAGCATTTCATTGGCTCGGTGGTTGTTTGCTTGCTGGAGACAAGCTGTAAGTCCCAGGTGTACTGTAAGTCCAAGGCCTTTGAATTGTAATGTCAACAAGATGAACTCCCTTGGGTATTCTTTGTGTGTTACTGGATCTCTGCCTTAGGGCAGAGCTGTACTTGGTTAGAAGAGGCTCAGCAACTCTGCTTTTGTTCATTATCTGGCACTACTGTGCCAAGCTGTCAAGTTTCTCAACCAGATGCCCATGAGGCTGCCTGATTGCCAAGTGTTTGTTCTTCACCTGCACGGAAAGTCAAACATTCCCATTAGTTGGGCTCTGTGGGTGAGGGCTCCTCCCATGCTGTGGGAGGTCATGGCATTTAGAGCTGCCCTGCTGTAGGTCCTGCTGCATGCAGATGTCTGTAGGAGCACACATGACCATTCTGTGAGCGTTCTCTCATCCTCTCTGGCTTCTGCAAAACTCTGCCCTGATTTACAACAAGGGCAGTGATGCACTGGAACAGGTTTACCGGAGAGATGGTGGATGCTCCATCCCTGGAAATATGCGAGGTCAGATTGGTCCAGACTCTGAGCAGCCTGATCTAGCTGTAGGTGTCTCTGTTCATTGAAGGGGAGTTCAACTAGATGGCTTTTAAAGGTCCCTTCCAACTCAAATAATTCTATGGTTTGTGGCTTCTCTGGCTTCTGCAATAGGGAATTCTGGAAGTGTAACTGTGCTTCCTCCTTCAGAATGGCCTTACTTCATGCCAATTAGTTCCCAGGTAAGTGACTTCATGCAGTCAGCAGCCTACTGCTCCCCTGCCTTGGCACAGGTACTTTTGTGGATTAGGGGGAGCAGTTCTGCCACCTGAGCATGCCAGTGGGAACTCAGTTTCTTCCAGTAATCTCAGCTGCTGCAGCAGGTGTAAGTTGCAAAGCACCATGAGCACTGAATATGCTGCAGAACTGAGACAGTGGTGTCTGCTGTACCTGTGTTTCTGTGAAGAACAAAGCTTTTCCTTCAGTGAAGCACAGAAACAAGCTGACCTACTCTGCTTGTGTTAGGATTATTCCTGCTTGCTTCTCACTTTTACCACACCAGCAAATGAGCCCCTTATTTGGAGCAAGCAGGATCCTGGCAGCTGAGGTGTGTGAGCTGTAAGAGCAGTGCTGCAGCTGCATCAGACTGTGCTCTCACCACAGGGCTGCACTGCACTAGCACGTACCAGTCAGCCCGAGCCAAGTGTCATAAACTCCAGTGAGCACCAAGCACGCAGTGCTGGCTAGGTGGGGGCAGTGCAGAGTCTAGTTTGACGCAGCAGAATTGCAATTAAAAATTAACTTTGCCTTCCCCCACCTCGATTGATGTGGTGATAACACCTGCGTGTATCTGCTCCCAGCACAGCCACTCTTGTGGAACAAGAGGATGATGCTCCTCTGCTGCTGCTCCTTCCGCATGTCCTGGGCTTGTCCTTGTGCTTAGCACATTGGCTCTGCTGTAATCACTATGAGCTTGAAAGCTGCTGGGGTAGGGAGCCATCTCTGGTGCTGTGTGGCTTGGTCAGGCTCCTCTTATGTCTTGCCTGCTGGAAACCCAAAGTCCTAGCCCAGGAATACCTTCTCCCAGATCCTGGGGCAGAGCCCTGCTAGTTGGATTCAGCCACACCAACTCTAACCAGGTCATGTGTGCAACTGAGATGTTACTGCAGTAGTGAGCTGCTAGACAGGTATGAATAGCCCTGCGTATCATCACAGAATAGGGAAGGAGAGGCAGGGAGATATTGTGCTGTGGAAATCAACTGTACGGTCTTCTATGAAGTGCTCTGCAGAGCTGGCATTACTGTCAAGGGTGACATGGAAAATCAGAGGCGTGTGGGTGGAAATGTTGAAAAGACCGCGTGGGACTGCTTAGTGAAGGATGGGTGTGGGGAAAATATGTAAAAAGAACCTGAATGATGAAAGCAATTAGGGTGGAGAGGAAAAGGAGAAAACAATGCATAACTGTGAACAAACAGTGGAATTAGAAAGTTGAGAGCTTCATTTATTAAACCTTTGCACGCATTGCTGCAGGATGTTGGGGCTGGAAAGTTAGGCAGCTGCCAGAGGCGAGCAGTCAGCTCTTCAGTGGCAAGAGCAAGAACAAGGGCTGTGCTGTGCATGCCATGGGTCCTGCCTGATTCTGGGCTCAGCAATCCGGCCAGATGGAGAAACTCACACATTTCACGGCCTGTGGGTATGCCTGGTTGTGGTACATCCAAACTTATCTTCCCATCTTGACTTCCACTGAGCTGCTACTTACACGGTGTTGCTTGTGTTGTGACTGCTTGTGCAGTCTTACAAGGTAGGATCCTGAGGAATTTAATTAATTTAATGAACAGAAGCAAAGTTTTATTAAGGATAACATGAGAATTGGAAAACTTATTATATTTCAGGATGTGGAACCCGTAGTTATGGTAAAAGCTCAGGGAAAAGCTCTAAAGACTTGGTTTACTTTTGGCTTGAAAACTGTACTTTGAATTGTTTCTTTATTGCTGGGAGCTATGAAGGAGGTGTATCTCCCTGTGGCAAGGGTGACATGTAATGCTGTAATGTGCAGTTAGTTTTTTGGTTGTTAATAAAATATTGAAACTAGAATGCCTTAAACATCTGGGAATAGAGGGCCCTGAAAGCAGATCTTTTGCTCCGTCACCTCAGGCACAGCTTCTTCCACAGGAGCTCTTTTCAGCTTGTTTGACAATGTAATTACCTTAGGTAACTATTGTAATGATCCTAATAGCTCAGCAAGTCTGTTTTCCCAACTAATCAAAATAGCAGGGGGCAGAGTCAGAGATAAGCAGCACGTGGCTACTCCCTGCTGGGAGCAAGCACTGGGAATTGCTCGTTGGGCTGGAGAAACAGGGATTGCACCTAGGTTGGGGCACCTGGTAAGAAGGTCGATGGCTTGTGTGAGATCTATCTGGCTTATTGCATGGCTAGGTCAAAAGGTAGAAGAGCTCTTGTATCCCTCACAGCAGGTGTCCATCATTGCCTCGGGACCTGGCTGCCTAAATATTGAGGAGGGTTCCTAAATGGTAGAGGAGGATGCCCACTGCTTGGTGGCAGACTAGCCCGTTGTAACAAGGCCTGCATACCAGTTTAGCTCCAGAATTAACCTAAATATTTAATAAGATTAAGCAAAAGCCTTTAATTGAAACAAAAGAGTGCACTAGGTTCCTGTGACCCTTGGTACACCCAGGCTGGCAGCTGGAAGCACTGCTGACCGTGCTTCCCACTGGGCCTGGTTCTTCCCAGCAAGACTAGTGCCTCAGCTTGTCCTGCTCTTCCTCTGACTGTTGCTGCTTACCACAGCAGTGTGGGCTGTCTGAAGCAAGGAGCTTGCCAAAGCAGATTTTAAGGAACTTAAGAGCTCCATTCCCTCTGCAGGAAGTTGTAGCTGTTCAGGGACAGGAAGGAGAAACAAGAAAGCTGACTTTTGAGGTGTTCCCCCCCAGCTGTCCCCATGTGTCAGTCAGCTGTGCTGCTTCCCCAGGAGAACTCCAATCCCAATGATGGTCTGCTGGCCTTGTCAGTAACTTCTGAGCTCTTTGCTGTCAGACAAGTGAGAACTTGTACTTTGCAGTTATACAGACGTATTTACTCCTGAAGTCCTGTAATGCAAAGACCTGATAAGGACCCACTGCTGATGTGCTTCCGAATTCTCAGTGCTGAGAGCAGTCTTGCCTATATTTTCTCATGCAGGGTTACATAGGCTCTAGCCATAGTAAATAAGATGGAATACAGTCAGATATGTCCTTTGTATGGCAAAGAGCTGTACTGTAGTTCTGTTCTTCCCCTCTCTGTCGCCTACTAGCCACTCCACAAACTACAGCTTGCATGGCTGGTACCAACAAACTAATAGCAGCATCCCAATCCATCATCCCATGCTGCCTTGTACTTCTGAGGTTGTCTATGGAAATGGGCACTTGCTGAAATTTTACATGTCTTGCAATTGCAGCAGAATTTGCAGTATGTGAGTAACTTGCTGGTATGCAGTAGACTTGCTGGTTCTCAAGTGTTGCTGAGCCATCCAGTGCAGAGTTGCACACAAGAAGCTTGATTTCATGCTACCTTACAGGTTGACCCAGTGTTCCCTCATTTGCTCAGGGGTCACAAAGAGATGAGAGTTTTCAGAGGGAACAGGACCTGTTCTTGTGGGCTCTGTCTTCAGATAAGTGCATCACTTTGCTCCATCTGGACTAGCAGCTACAGTTGGTGTTGTGGCTGATGCTGTTAACACAAACTCTGTGCAAATAGTGATGGAATTAGTGTATATGTGACTAAATCCCTTCTGGAACATCTGATAGCTCTGTCAGCTCTGGGAGGTCTTTGCAGCAGCTGTATTTGTAATGACGATGTTGTCCTGTCTTGCTGCTCTCAAGGACAGCTCAGGATGTCTGTCCAATGCATGCTTCTGCTGTGCCTTCTGTGAGACCTACTGTGTGATGCAGAGCTCTGCATGGGGTGAGGGTGTTGTCCAATCTGCCCGGAGAACCTGATGCTAACAGCCACTCGTTCTTCTGCTTTTCCTGTAGATCTGTAAGTGAGAGAAGATGGGGTCTGGCTGCCTGAAAGTCACCAAGTACTTCCTGTTCCTCTTCAATCTCCTGTTCCTTGTAAGTATTGTGGGTGTCTGCGGAGTAAGTAGGAACTAAAATTAGCTGGAAACATGGTTTTTTTTCTGGATGCTGGCCCAGTGTGTTCATTAAATGACACAGATTTTGGAAGAGAGAATGGAACTCCTGAAGCTGAAGCACATTGGAGCTGCTGGCTCCAAGTATGACTAGGTGCTCTGCTCCTGGTCCACACTTGCTGCCTCCAGTGCACACATCTACTTTTTTGCAATGGGAATGGAAGGCCAGAGTTATGAGGTTTTGCTGGATGGAGAGGCGTGGTAGCTTCTTTCTCTGCTACATCTAGAGCAGCAGCAAAGCTGCCCCTGAGCAGCAAAGCTACAAAACCTGCCAAGTAGCAGCACTGCCCTCATAAATAGGTCAGGCGGGACTTCAAAGAACAACTCTAATTTTGTTTCAGTCTCAAGGGCTGGTTCTGGTTTTTAACAAGGTGAATTAGTCCAAGTGCCCTGTTTGAAAAGGAATTGGAAGGTAGGGGGAGACTGAGGAGGGCTTGGCTGGGGAAAAGAAGCAGGCCTCTGGATAGTTATTCTCCAGCGTGTGCCTCAGCAAAAGGTAATCCAGTCTGAGCATTTTTTGTTTTTTTCTTCTTTTTTTTTTTTTTTAGTCAAATGGGGGCTAGAAGGGGCACGCTCTCACATGCATCCTATTGTGAAACTTAGATACTGTGTGTTGTGCGAGCAAAGGGCCAGTGATGGCAGTGTTGGTGCACTCCTGGTGTGGAATATTGCTCTGCTGAAGGAGGTGGCTTCTACTTTCCATATATCAACAAGAGAATAGCTTGTCTGATACTGTTACCGTTTGTGTAGCATGTTAGGGAAGGGAAGGGCCAAGCTGGGAGGTGGAGGTGGGAAAGAAGGCAGGATAAGGGGAACACTGCTTTCTGGTCTGTCCCTAAATGCAGCTTCTCTCTCTGCTCCTGCGTGGCTGTGCTATGCTACAGGTGCTGTCTTTCCCCTAGGGCTGCCCCATGGAAAGGGGGCATTTGAAGCTGCAGTGGAGCTTACTGCTTCTCTGGAGCGAAGATTTTGAGCTGTTTCAGCTGATGGCAGGCTTTTTGCATGTGCCTGATGTTGAGAAAAGCGGTATCTGTTACTATCTGGCTGCCATAGGAAGTAGTTGACCCAAGAAGCTTTTTCCTGTTACAGTTGTTCAGGGTGTGAATGGGGGATGTCCAAGCTTATACAATGTAGATGTTTCTAGATCAGCTTTAGTCCAGTAGAAAAATTGCTGCAGCACTGCTGTGAGCTTCCAGCACAGAGAGGTTCTGCAACCCTCGTGCTGGCTGCACTGGGTGCTGAGCTCAGTTATGGGGAGTGCCTGGCTCTGAGCTCAAGAAATTCCTACTGTTCCCTTGCCCTCTGAAGCTTGTGCTGCTGGCCAGCCAGAGCCCACAGTGATGGCTGAGAGCTGGGCAGCTCTCCTAGCTGGCTCGTGCTCCACAAGCTGTCAGCTCACAGGGACTGTTCTTTTATTCCATAGATTTACGCTTGATTGCAAAAGACTCTCATGCTGCTTCAGTGTGGATGTTAATGCTGGAGATAGAGCTTTGTCCTCTGGAAAGATACTGAGCTGAGCCTTTGTGGTTACACTGTGAAGGCCAGCCCTCTGCCAGCAGTGTTCTCTAGCCTGACTTGGAGCTGATGAATGTAGCCTTTAGAGACCCTGGTGCCACTTTCAGAAGTTAGTTGTTGAAATAGCTTTTCTCTACAGTTTGAGGACTGTAAGGAGGTCCTTTGTTCTAGCTGAAGTAGTTCAGGGACTTGGTGTATTGCAGCCTTGGAGCCTTGTTTCGGGGGAAGGTTTGACCTGCTTTAATTAAAGGGAAAAGGATTGTTTGAACTGCTTTCCTACATGTCTCAGAAGTTGCCAAAACATAAGTTTAGGGTATAAGCTTAGTTTCTCTAGTTAAAACTTTACACATCTCTTCCTTGGATAGCAGGCATAGGCTACAGCAGGTGCTTCTCCTTAAAGGGAAAACAGTTCTCCCAAACACCTCCGTAAATGGAACAGACTGCAACTTGAAACAAGGCCTCTAGTTATCAGTTGTGATACTTCTCAGAACTTAGGGCTTGATTGGGTCCAGTGACAGCAGAGTTCTTCCATAACCCTCTTCATTGAGTTGTGCTATGGAAAACTGCCAGAGCTGCCTTCAGGGGGCTGTATCTTCCTAGCTTGGGTTTGGATCTTGCTGAGATCTGGGGTACATCCTCATTGCTGGGGTGAGGGAGAGACATCCATGCTCTGCTTCAGGGGCTGTAGGGCAGCATAGAAGAGGAATTTAACTCTGTGGGCATCATCAGGTGTGATTCCCATGTGCAGAGACTGAAGCCAAGCCAAAGGCAGAAGCTGTGTATGGAAACTCCTGCAGACATTGAGCAGAGATACCCTCCCGCTAGGATATGACAATAGGGTTGTAAACGGAGCAGTATTTTTTTCCTTGTGGTTTCTTTTCTCACTGCCCTCCCCCTTTTAGTGTTCTCAGCAGCAGCTCCTGGCAAACACATGAGCTGTGGACAAGAGCAAAGCTCCGAGTGAAAACAGGCCTTGGGTAGTCAGAGTACCTCATAACAAATAACTTCCCAGGAACTCAGTTCAGCAGGAGTTCTGTGTTTTGTCAGTGGCAGCAAAACCGAGGTGACATCTCGGGGTCAGTGAGCCAAAAGAGATGTCACACAAAGCCCAGTTTGCATCTTTGTTCAAGACAAATATTTTATTAAGACTGGCTTAAATGTGAGACTGCCTCAAACTGTAAATTCAGCAGTTCCTGTGAATACGAAGTTTAAGAGGAATTTTTAGGAGCCTCCAGCTGTTGTATATTCAAGGGGCTTTCATTTCCAGTTTGACCAACAGATCCAGTGCTCCTGTGCAACACACTGGGATGTGATACAAAGATTCTTGTTACTATCATCTTGTTGGGTTTTGTTTTGTTTTTACTGAGAAACAACAGCAGCATGCTTTCTACAGCTGAGATGCCGTTCTTCGTTGGTCTTCAGATATTGGAAACTTGCTCGGTGACTTTCTAGTTTAACTCCCAGAGCTGTGTTATTCCTCTGCCAAGCCAGGAAGCTTGCAAGCAGCTTATTTCAGAGTGTTGTTTTATCTTTGCTCAGAAAGGCATCTTTGTGTGAAGAGCTGAAGCACAGTGTAAACTTTGGAAATGTGTTGACAATGCCTTGCCATATGGCTTTCTGCCAGCTTGCTTCAGGTGATGGTTTGACGTTTCCATGGTCTATCTGAACACTCTATAATGAAGCACAGAATTGCCACCTCTCTTCAGTCCTGTTGATTTATTCAGTACTTTGCTTCATCCTCTGCTGAAATTCTGCTGGTGTAAGAACTACTGCCTGCAGCTCACATCCTTTGGAGGCACGTCACTTGCCTTTATCCTTCCCTTGCTCCTTTACAGTATTTTAGAACTTTCACCACTCTGCAACTTTGAATTGTCTGCGCTGCACAAGTTTTGGCTTCCTAGAAATCCAGCAAACTCACAGGCTTCTTAGCATAGTGACTTCATTGTGGTACAGTGGTGTTACGATCCTGATTTTGGGAGTTGGAGTGATCTCAATGTACAATAATACCTAGAGGCTGAAACAGAATACACTTTTTTTTTTTCCTCTCTCCTCCTTCAAAACAAGGTGAGAAATCTGTATGTTTCTGGCCTTCTTGATTTAGGATCTGGACACAGCTGAGTACTCACAGGGACATATTGCTCTGCTAATCCTTCCCCTAGATAAAACTGGTGAGGCACAGGCTGTGACTGATGTTTCATAACAGTTGGTGGGAAGATGTGTTGGCTGGAGTATTGAGGGGTTAGGGTGCTCCGGCGTAACATAGGGTCACAAGACAAAATGCCTGAGCCTGGCTCTGGAAGAAGAAAAGCCCTTTGCTCATGGGAACCTGCATGCAAAGGGAATGCTACTGGTTTTGTGTGTTTGTGGGCTGAAGCCATAACATCGTAGCAGAGCCTGACAAGCCCAAGATGTCCTTCCTGGGGAGGTTCCAGCTGACAGCTATGTAATCCTTGGCAGCTGGCTTGCAGTCTGGTCCCTTACAGTCAGTTTCTCTGTTCAAAAAATCTTTTAAATCACATGCTAGATGCTCTTGTGCTCCCTCAGATCTTCAGAGAAGCTGTGCACTTCCTCGTGCAAGATTCTAGCAGCAGCTTCTCATCAGACTGTTTTGAACCTTCCTCTGGTATGGTGTGAAGGTCTGCCAAACAGAACTTGGGGCTCCTGTGCAGTTGGCTGAAGCTCTCTTCCTGGAGTCATGCTAATCCTGTTTATGTTGGGAGGAGTACCATGGGGGAGATGGGTGGGAACGGCAAAAGAATAGTTGTTTTTCCTCTGGAAATATGAATAAGGGTTACTGCTTCTTATAGCTGGCTTATTAGTTTATACAAATATTTGTTTTGTTCTTGTTCTTTCAGATTCTGGGTGCTGTGATCCTGGGTTTTGGAATATGGATTTTGGCCGACAAAACCAGCTTCATTTCAGTTCTGCGTAAGACCATGTTTCTTCTTCATCTTTCTCTTTTTTAATTGACTCTGGTCTGGGGCTCTGTGTTTTAGTGGTTTAGTTTGGGGATGGCAATGTTTTTTAGCAGGCTTCGTGACCTGAGCAACAACATGGTTTATGGCGAGATGAACCTCTAGTAAGAACAGGGTGAAAAGGAGCATGCCTCAAGACATGGTGTTTCTGCTAGTCTCGTGGATTGCAACACTGTGGTCAGACTGTGTAAGACTATTGACTCTTCACCCAGCTACCCAAATGCTTCATCTTAAACCTAAGGACTACTATTTCATCCTATTCTCTCTACATGCTGTATTGCCACAACAGCTTTGGCTCTGACAAACTGCTTCCTTTGTGCCTTTTCTTAGCGGGGGCTTCTAACAAGTTGTGTTATTCATTGTCACTGCATCCAGAATTGTTGCTTATGTCACCAGTGTCAGATGCTGTAGTGAAAATTGGATGCTAGATGAATGCTGCTTGTAGCCCCATCTTGTTTGCCCAAGGAATGGATGGCAATGGCATTTGTAGCTCTGCTCCCAGTTACACCAATCCTTTATCTCCCAACTCCTGCTCCCAAGTCGCTGCTTTTTAGCAGTGCTTTTGAAAGATGCTGGGCGGAGAGAACACCCCCACTATGGCCAGTACACACAGACACTGCAGGCTGCTCTGTTTATTGTGCTGTGGCATCTGGCTAACACTGCACCATTAAAAGGGCGAGAAGCCTAGTAAAGGGTGGTGGTAAGTAATGTGTGAGCATGAGCAGAAACACATTGAATACAGATAGCTGAAAAGGGGCTTACCAAGGCCTGGCTACTTGCATCATCTGTTAGGGTCTGAGATGTGATCAGTGCCAGTTGTGCAGCAGCTACTCCCCCAGGCTTAAGGTTGTCGCCACCACTGTGAATGTTCCAAGTCCCTTGGTCTGCCTCTTTTTCTTCCCGTTTTACCCAGAATAACAAAGTGTGTGAAGATTTTACTTCCTTCCTGGCAATTTCTAGTCTCAGCTCTTTCTCCCTGCTCCTCGCTTCCTTTCTCATGCCTGCCCCTCTCTTCCTCTGCTTTAGTAACCCGTTGGAGGAGCTCTGCACAGCAGGGCATTGCAGCCAGCTGCCAAGGGGCCTCTTGTGCTTGCCTGGCAGCTGGCCCAGCGCAGGGGAAAACATGGAGTGACAGTGAGCAGAGCAGGACTTGCCCAGCCAGCAGGGCCACGTTTCTGAGACAAGGCGTATTGCAGATGAGAGGTGTGAGCATGGCCTCTGCCTATCTACTGCTCTGGCTTCTCTGAAGGATTTTGCAGCTGGAAATGGCTTTTTCTTATAGTGAGAAACTGACTAAGCGAGAATATTAGCCTGGACTCAGTTATTGTCTCTTTTTAACCTATTTCTAGAAGAGCTCAGGGAATTCTCCTGTTTCTTGGGACTTCTTTCTAGGAAACTGAATGCTGAGCTCTAGAAATATTAATTGCATGAATCACTGGACATTCTTCTGCACTATCCAACTCACAGGTTTACAGATTTCTGTTAATGATCAATTTGGTTTTTGGTTGCTATTTCCAGACTCTTTGAACTTTTATGCCATAATGCATGCCTTTCTCTAGTCTTATTCAGCGAGAAATAGTACTGTGACCAACTCAGATATAAGGGCTTTTTTCTTCTGTTGCTTAAAGAATCAGATGCTGAGAGGACTGACAGCACCAGCATGTCTGAAATAACATTACCTAGACTTGAATGAAAAGCTGTTGAAAATAGAGAAAATGCGGATGTTCCAGATAACAGTGGGTGGTAGCTGCTAGAAGGATGTGCAAAAGTAGCTAATTTAATGTAGCAGAAATGCTAAGTCACGTCCTGAACCAGTTACTGAGCACCTGCTGGGAAGGCAGGGCCAACCCAGGGAAGCTCAGGTGTATGCAATTCATACAGGATCCAGCCCTTCCCAGATCTCATTTAGGGGTTAGCAGTGGAGGTGAGGGTATCTCTTGCTGAAGATCCTTGCCCACCTGAGGTCTCCCAAAGGCAAGCAGATCGCTTTCTTCATTTCTGTGTTTGCAGCTGTTGCATTTGGGATTGTTCTCATTTGTTGTAGCCAAAGACTTTGCCATTGTGCTATTATTGTGGTACTTTCTATCCCATTATAGCATTACATTTGGGCACAATCCCTGTTTTGATCCTGGAATTAGCATCTATTTACAGGAGTCATAGATGAGTATTGAAACGGTGTGCAATGAGTGCGGTTGTTTGGAGTGACCTTTAATCCTCCAGGCTTTGAGATAATACAGACCTGCAGGTTGTCTTCAGTGGTATTCCCTCATCAGAAGACCCAGAAGCAGTCTTCTGTCCCATATTTGACATGCTTCCATGTGTTGTTCTTGTAGAAGATAGCAGACTTATGTGGATATGGAGTCAATTCTCCAAATGATGATGGCAGTTGTCATGTTTGTCAGTAGCTAATTTGTTCCTTCTCTTGGCCTCTGCAGAGACCTCATCTCCCTCTGTGAGGACTGGCGCATACATCCTGGTCGGTGTTGGGTCTCTCACTATGCTGATGGGATTCCTGGGCTGTCTTGGAGCAGTCAATGAAATCCGATGTCTCTTGGGTCTGGTGAGAGAATTCATCTGGTCTTTTAGATTACCCTTTGATACCTCTCCAGCAAAATATATTTTGGATTGTATTCTGAGATTCAAGTCTCCTTGGGGACAATACTTCTGCCAGGTCAACTCAGATCTTATTCTTTATCTGCATACTTTATATTCCCTGGTCAGCATGCTGCAACCAGTGGTTTATCTATGTAAAATTTTCTGTTAAATGGCACAAAACTACCTTCATAAACCTTCACCTGCTGATATACTACTGCTTATTCAGAGCACGTGTATATAGGAAACCAGTTATGGCCACATCATTTGTTTTGGCACCGGGAAAGTCTCAACACCAATTTGCTGTGGGTGGAGAGAGTTCAACCAGTTGAGGTCAAACAGACTATAACAGTGCTGGGGGTGGGAGAGGGAATCCTGGCTGGAGTGACACATGCAGGTGATGTTCATAAACTGTCTTCTTCCTGTTAGCCTAATGAGACAAGTGCTGAAGTGTGCTGACTCAGTAAGTTGTAGCTGCTGTTGGTACTTGCAGAGGCTTGTACTTAAGCCTTTCACTGTGAAGAGTATTTTTGATAGCTGAGCTTGTCTGCAGGCAAAGATGTTGGCTAGATGTGACTTTTTCTGTAAATGAAGTCTCACTGAAAGTTTTGCTCTTACGTGCAGACTTTATGAAAACTGATAATGGTAATGTCTTCTCTCTTTGTTTCCAGTACTTTACCTGCCTCATGCTGATTCTCATAACTCAGGTGGCTGCAGGACTGGTCATCTATTTCCAGCAAGAAGAAGTGAGTATTACTGTCTGTGTTTGTTTTCCCTAGGCTTACCTTGGGGGAACAGAAGACACCTAAAAATGCTCTTCAACTTGGATATACAATTGGCAAGCACAACTGAATTGTCTTTTCTTCCACACCAGCACTATAGCTGCTGTACAGCTTGTTTCTCCGGTATCTGCCAGGCTTGGTAGCCTTACTTTCTCAAGGATTAGGAAACTGTTTAGTATATAGGCTTTATTTCTCGTTGTGGGAAAAGTAAAGAGCAATTCTTGAAAAGCTTTTTGACCATACTCCATCTTGATCCTGCTCTAGGCTACTATTTGTGAATGTAGTAATAGCAGTAATTACCACACTGTCATCACAGCTGCCATATTGGATTACCAGTCCAACCTTCTTAACTCTGTGTCATCATGTTCCATCCTTTAAACTCTTAAGAACTTGCACATAAAGCTCTTCTTGGAAGAGCTGCCTTTCTTTCCCAAGAGCAATCCCTAGTATCTGACAGTTCCTGTGCTATCACTGGAGCTTAAAGCCAAGTGGTTTAACAATTTGAAGTGGGCCACTCTTGTCAGGAATGGAATTTCACAGCATATGCACAGAGTTGTGAGTCTCCAGAATTTAAAGGAATAACTTCTCTGAGCTATGTCAGTGCATTGCAGCCTCCTGTCCTGGCTATAGGTTTCCTGGCCTGCACAGTGCTCGGTTAGACCTTTTAACCAATTGCCACCTCAAATGAGAGGTACGTTCACATAGTGGGAACAAGTTAAAACTGTGTTGTCCCTGCTGGCTCCTGTGTTGGCATGAAGGTTTCTAGTACCAGATATGGGTAACCCTGTCCTTTGCCGCATAACCACATATCCATACCACTGCAGCACTGTGCTTGCTTCTCCTAAGCCAGTCTTTCTGCTGGTGTTTACAAAAGTAGGTGGTTGAGGAAGTTGGTGGTGAAGTCGGGAAGGTGGGAGGTGCCTGCCCTGGTGTAGCTGATAGGAACTTTGTGCAAGTAGCTGTGGTGACTGTGAGCAGCTGTTGGTTGGGTTCCTTGCCAAGTGTGGTGTGAATGTAGTTTGCTCTCTGGGCTGGCTGAGGGTAGAGGAGAAACTGAAACACTGATTATCTGATATGTGAAGTTAGACTTAAAACAGGCTGCTGATTCACAACAGCTCTGACTAATGCAGAGGAGGTGTGAGGATCGGCATTTCCCTGCTGCTGGGGAAATACGACTTCCCAAGTCATGAAGTTCTGTACCTCTCTCAGTACTTCTCCTCCAGCTGTTACTTCAATGTAGGAAACTCCAATTTTAGCTGTAATTCTTTGTTTGGACCTCAATCATCAGGGGGAGATTGAAAGTGCCGAGAGTTTTGCACAGACAGCAAAATCAGCGCAGCTGAAATAACTGTCCAGATCCATCAGAATAACGGAGGGGGAGATGGGGTTTGAACACATGCAGCCGTTCTCAGTGAGCAGAACGTATGGTAAAACTTTTCCAGAGACCTTCTGTGTCAGGGATCGTCTGAAGTACCTGCCCAGAACAATTGGGGGGAGGGGGGGGGGGGCGGGGGAAAGAAGACAATTTCAAGAATGTCTTGGCAAAAACCTCTCGCATGCTGGTTTGTGGGCTGTGCTTCAGTGACTCTATGCGTGTCACTCTGCTTCACTTGATGTATGCCATCCCAGGGCAGCTCAGAGTACAGTGGAGAAGACTGAAAACTTCTCAGGATCCACTCCCCATTGTGTTCTTCATGTTTGTTTTTCCTTTCTGACTTCAGGAAGTTGGTTAGATATAAAACAAGGAATAATAAGAGTGAAGGAAAGAATCCTGGATCAAGTGCTGCAAGATGATACTCTTCTGCTTCTTTTTACTGAAGTCTTAATTTCTCTACTAGAGAAGAGGAGACGAGATTATTGTACTGCTCACTTCTTGATCAATAGATATTGCACAGATTCACTTGCTGGCCTGCATGGCAAGGCCTATGTTTCTGTTGAAATCTGTTCACTTTCAGTGTCAGAATCCTTCCCCACACTGACATATGGAAGTCTGCTGAGCAATTCAGTGTAGCTGTAAATGCTGAACCTGACAGGAAGGCTGCAGCTCTGCCTGTCTTGTGGGCATGGCTGGAGGAATGCCCCATTGGACTGGAACTGCCCAGGGCTTGCCCACTGTAGGAGGATGTTAAACATTCATTTCCCCTACAGAAAACTTGTGGGGGGATATTTCTGTTTGGTTTTTTTTGTTTGTTTGCTTTTTTTAGGACAGCAGGATAGCAACATTGTAAGTTTCACTTAACACCTCTTTAGATCGCAACACTTTGGACCTGAGAAGCCTGGATGAGGTCCTAGTTCACACAGTTCTCTGCAGCTTGGTTCTGAGTGCCTTGGGCAAAGGAGGGTGATAGTGCCCTAGGAATTACTCTCCTTTCTATCTATTCTTTGTAGCAAACATTTGTGCCTGAGGTTCCAGGGCATGCATTAGTTTCAGAATCTGGAGTGACTGAGGGGTGAGGTCACCCTTGTATTTGGGGCCTGTTTCAGTATGCAGACTAGAACCTAGTAAATGCGTTGGGAGAAGGATCTGCTTGAGTCTGAGGGGCAGGATAGATGACCAGTGGTGTCTAATAGTGGAAGAGTCCTGTGTTGGTTCGTCCTGTGATGATGGCTGGAAGCAGTGATGTATGCTTTTGCCTCTGGCATTCAGCTTTTCTGTATTCTTCAGTAAACACATGGGAAAGGGAGATTGATAGCCCTGCTGCTTTCTGGCTTTGGTGGTAAAGTTGTTCCTTCTGGTGCTGGACAGAGGCATCAGTGTCTTGGAGCAGCCATGTTCCACACATCTTATGTCCTGAGAAGTCTTTATTGGGTGAAGAGGGAAAAGCTAAAGTTCAGCATGCCTTTCTAGGCTTGTGCTTTGTATGGCAGTGCAGGGAGGCATTCAGCTGCAGGTGCCTTTCTCCCCCTTGAGCTGTGCTGCCAGCTAAGCAAGCTATTTTTGCATGTGTTTTCCAGATCTGTACCATTGTTTGTGTAATAATCCCCACCTTCTCCAGTTACTTCATAAAACACCCAAGAATCCTTGGCTTTCTTTCCCTTAGATGCCTCCTTAGATGACGCTTTTGAAACCAGAGCTGTTTTTAAGACTTCTTGCCTATTCTTGCATAATAATAGAGGAAGAGAAAAGATGCAGCTTCCTGTGCAGCTGCAATCAGGGACGTCTAACTCTGGCCATATGTCTGCTTGTGGTGTGGTTCCAGATTGGAGAATGGAGGCTCTTTTTGGTAGGGATCCTTGCAGAAGGGACCCTTGGTTCTTTCTGGCGTAAGTGCAAATGGGCCAGATGGGCCCTGGGCAAGACGACAGCCCTGTCCCTCCTTGCCTCCCTCCCTGTGTGCAGGAGGGTGAGGATGGGAATGCAGAGATTCAGTATTGGATCAGGCTTATGGCAGCATCTAAGGCCAATCTCATTAGTAGGAACCAGGTCAGGCTGCCTTGATTTGAAAGGAAGGAAAAGGGGGAAGCTAAGTAATTAAAAGGGGAAGAGTTAGACATCATGAGAAGGAAGATCATGTGGCTCCCATCTGCCTGGCCTGATGTAGGTGATTGCTGTGAGCCATGCTGCAGTTTCCTAGAAAAAGTAGCTGGTAGAGCAAGCAAATGAGTAGGCACTGCTTTCTGTTGCTGATTGTCCTTCGCTTTGCCACAGTCTTTTACAGTGCTTAATAGAAAGAGAAAAACCTTTTCCACTAATATGAAGTATGCTGTGGCACCACAGACTAAAAGGTAATACACTGAGGTGGAAGAATCCCAGTGCTAGGGGTGATGTAACTCTGTGCTATCACTCTAGCTGTCTAGTGATGTTTCTTTTGAGCTATTTGAGATAGGGCTCTGTCCCTTACAGTGACAGTTGTATTAGCTGTCCCTTGTGCACAGGCTGGCTGAGGAGATCTTCAGAGAGAGGAGGGAGGAAGGGGGCTGAGGAACCTGCTGGGTGGTAGCTTGTACCTCTCATCAAAATGAGGGGTGGTATAAATCTCTGGACAAGGAATGGGTGTGTAGGGGTTATTTGATCAGCCTGAGCTTTGTTGTAAGACTGTCAGTGAACAGTTTAGGCAGGTGTAGTACATGTTGTCTCAATACAGAAGCAGCATTTCCGGGAGTCTGGGGAGAGACAGATCAATGCCCTGGGAAAAACAGGAGTTTCCACAGGCTGTATGTCAAAAAACAGTTGCACGCAGCAGCCGAGTGACTCATACCTTCCTGAGAGGTGGAGGGCCTCAGCAGTACTCGGGGATGAACTGCAGTAGCTGAGATCCCAGATCAAAGTCTCCCTTTCAGTGCAAATTTAGAAATTATCTGTGAGTCCACAGGACAGTGTTATCCTTCAGCTTGCACTGATCCTTCCCCTTTTTCTCACCTGTGGTGGACAGCGATTTTTCACATGCCCTACTCAGTTCTATTTCTCACCGTTCATCAGGTTCACAGCCTTCTCTGCACCAAGGCAGGGACTTAATGGCGAGTGCTAACTGTTGTATTGCTTAGGAAAACTGCTGTCCTAGCTTCCATTCAAGACTGAAACTGCGTATGTATACTTTCTTATTGTACTGGTCCTGATACATGTAAAACCATATGTTTTGGTTCTTGATACTGTACCACTGCAGTCTGTAGATTTTTATTTTTATTGTTTGCTTGCCTTTGTTGTTGTCACTAAGCATCCCAAGTTTTACTGTGGTAGATCTCCAGTTGTCCTCAGTACACTTATTTGCCAGCAACTTCACAGCTTTGCTATCCTGTGAGATAAAAACTTTGCTTCCCTTTCTGTCTGTATGATTGTTCAGTCTGATTCTTGAACTTCTTTGGATGTCAAATGTGTCTTTTACCAACAGTGTGGCAAACGTAATGCCTTAATCAGTATAGGAAGGTTCCTCAACTTCTGAGGAGCCAGGAAGCAGTCTCCCACCCACTTAGTAAGCTTGAAATAAGTGACTGAAGGAGGAAACGGGGATTTCAAATTAACTCACTTCCTCCAGAGCAACTTTCCTCTTACGTAGCAGCAAGCCACACGTCACTGAAAGCTGGGGTAGATTTCATGTGTCTACTTCTGCCTGGAAAAAAAAATTCTCAGCAAGAAATGCCATCTGGTCATCAAAGTGGGATTTTATCTTGGTAAACCCATTTTGTATTTCATCTTGTCAATGATATTTATTGCCTGTTCTCCAAAGCATAGATAAGACTGCAGAATAAACTATTTCAAGGTCGATCTGAGGGATTTTCCACTGCCCTGTTGCCTTTTTCCTTACTGCTTATGTGCCAATCAGATGATACTTACTTATCAATGATTGTATTACTGTTTCTATCTTTTTGCTGCAAAGTAGAAATGGCTGTATTGTGGGAGTATGGTAGTCTGAGCACAGATTACTGTCTCCTTCAGGTCTTTTGGAAAAGGGCTAAGCAGAAGCTACTGCTCATTCCATTTTCATTTTTCTTTTACAGTGCCTGTAATCACCTGCAGTTTGTCTTTGCTCTATCCTCATTCACTGGAACTAGAGCAAAGCAAAGTGCTTCAGTGTCCGTGACCATGATGAGCCTTTGTTTTTCCCTGCTATGAGAGCAGCAGAGCAGCAGGACTAAAACTGATAAGGAGGGGTGTCATGTAGAGTAAACCCACAAGAAGTTACAAAGAATTGACTGATCTGACTTTTGCTCTTCTTTTAATTTGCCAGCTGAAAGGAGAGTTGTCACGCATAGTTGAAAAACTGATTGAAGATTATGACCCTGTGAATGGTGAAGATAAGAACTTACAAGATGCGTGGGACTACGTGCAGAAACAGGTGAGCCACAAGGTGAAGCAAGGAAAAAAAAGATGCTATTTTGCCAGTGCAGCAAAATGGTTTATAAAGTTAGGCTGAAGACATGAAAACAGGTATTGCAAGAAGCCTAGCAGTGTTCCTCAATCCTGTTATGCCTTTCCAGTTCTGTATATTCAAGTCACAGTTGCGGACATCCACTACTTGATATTCTCAGCTTCCGGAAGCTCCCCCGTAGCTTTGGATGTCATGTAGTCTATTCATGTTTCTTGGTAGTGAACTGCAACCATCTCCTGTACCACTTGACTTAGGTGTGTCTCATCTACATTCCTCAGGTATCTTTTAAAAAGCTGCATTTTCAGCGTAGGTGACTGTTGGTTAACATTATAGTGCACTGATTTGGCTGAGATATGAAGTTGTCTGTGATGTTTGGTGCCTGCATATTAGCAGGTAGTACTACTAGTGGTAGATAAGACACTGATTTTCTTCTATAGTATTTGCTGCATAGTGCAATGTGTCTGGCCTACCAAATGATACCCTGACACTTCTGCTCATCATCTGCAGTGTCTCTGGAATGCCTTAGTCTGTGTGAAAGCCACAGTGCATGCTACTTCTACAGCAAGTTAAAGTCCCTAGCTTATTGCCAGGCAACTCAGCAGCACTGTCTGCATTGCTGCTTGGTGTCTGTTGCCTGCTTACTGTGATATTCCTCTGCAAGCGTGAGCATTCTTGGGAGCCATCCAACTGCCTGTGATTTCTGCTTTAGCATCAGGGTCAATGCCTGAGCAACTAGGTCAGCGTTCAGGCACACTGGAGTCATGATAGCTGTTTGCTGCCAAGCCATGGACCAGAGAGCCTGCTGGCTGTTGGAGTTAAACACATGCCCAGCATGAGGCTGATGTATTATCAGTACAAGTAATAGCATTTTTCTTGTCTGTTCTTTACACTAACCAGTAATATTCCTCCTCAGAGGGAGTGATTTATTTATGTTCTATTGCTGTATTTGTAGCTCCTTGCCAGCTGAATCAAGGGAAGGCTTACTGCAGAGAAAGGATCCTGCTTTAGCTATTGTTTTAATGTAGAAACAGAAGAAAGCTCTGTGGAGGAGTGGAGTGTTAAGAATCTACTTCCTCTAATACACTACGGTTTGCATTTGAAAGGGAGTAGAGGAGTTGTGCTGTCACCAGTTACGGGTTTAAAGTCCAGACCTTTCTGGGATGGGAAGTTTCAGCTGGATTTTCAGCACTTGTTTGGAAACCAAATGCTAATGCTGTTGTGGGTGTTCGGCTGTTCTTACTGCCACTGTCATATGTCAGACTGAAACGCTACGTTTCTTCTCTGAGCAGAGGGATTTTTTCCTAAACTTCCACCTCAAATCTGATTATCTCTCTGCTCTGGATCCCAGTGCTTGTGTGGTAGTATAGGCTTTCCAGAAAAGATCGTAGGCTTTTGCTGGACTTCCCGACGTGCTTTCCCCTTCGGCGTCTGTAGCTCTGTCACGTGAGGGCATAGGAATGTAAATGTCTCTCTGGATGGAAAACTTTCCTCATGTGCGTCCCAGCCAGCCCCTAGCAGCAGCCAGGCGAGTGCGAGCAGCCGGGGCTCGGTGGCATGTCCGCGCCACCCTGCGGCGGCTGGCTGCTGTGCCCTGCTGGCCAAGGCTGCCTCTGGAGGTACTTCGCAGTTAGGAACCAGACCGTGAAAAGTTCTCGCTCTGTGTGCGACCGCATCCACTGCCTGTTTGTTCGAGTGTGTAACATGCTATCATACGCTATCATAAGCGTTATGACCACTATGCTTTATCTTTGCTTATTAGCTTACCTGCTGTGGCTGGAATGGAGCAGAGGAGTGGGAAAAAAATAACATTCTTATCAACAGAAGCTTGACTGCGTATCCCTGCTCCTGCTCCAATAGTTCCAAGGATGCTGAGGAAAATACAGGCTTATGTAGTCTGGATGTTGGGGTGAATGGTACTGCAACATACGCTGACTGGCCTGTTCACAAGCAGGTGAGTGAATATGTCTGGGGTTCATGAAGCTTCCACTGAAGTCATCTTGTTTTTGCTACTCTGGAAATGACTCTGGAGAATGTTTTTCACTTTAGTGAACAGGATGACAGGGATCTTGCCCTTCTCTGCTAAAGCTACTGTGAAATTTGGCATAGCATGTAACAGGCTTAAGCTGTGCATGCACAAGAAGTTACGAATCTCTAGTCTTGAGATACTTAGAATCCTTGCTGCTTTCCCCTCTGATGGTCTTTTCTCCACAGGGTTGTGTGGATGGGGTACAGGATTGGTTGAAGGACAACCTTGGTATCATTCTTGGGGTCTGCACAGGTGTTGCTGTTGTAGAGGTAAGTCATTCCCTGGTACACGTTCATATCCTGTCTCTCTATGCAGACTCTTTTAAAGACAAAGTTATTGGGCTTTTTTTTCTTTTAGTAGTAGACAAATGGTTTAATGAAGGTAAAGTTTTGGTTTTTTTTTGTTTTTTGTTTTTTGTTTTTTTTTTTTTTTAAGTGATGGGCAGCTTGCTTAATGTTGATACTGCTACTAATTGTCTACTTTGAGCTTTGAACTGCTCCTCTCATTGGTTGGAGTAAGCCCTGTTTACTCATGGTTTCTGCTGCTATATGTGGTATGAAATATATGTATTTTTACACACACACACACATCCCACTAGTGAAATGACAACTTTTGCCTTAAAAAGCCCGTAAAAGGTTTGGGTGGGTTTTTTTTTTGTTTGTTTTTTGTTGTTGTTGTTTTTGCAGCAATGTATTTTCATCATCCTGGGGGGGAATTAACTCTGTTTGCCTTAGTGATACCATTAAAAGGATACCCCTGTATTTTTTTTCTCCCCATACCATTCTTTCTTCCTACCTTATTATCTGATTGGTGACTGACTTCCCATTTTTCATTACTTATTCCAGTTGCTGGGGATGATACTGTCCATTTCACTCTGCAAGAACATACACAGTGAAGACTACACCAAAGTGCCCAAGTCTTGAGTTTTTTGACTCCAGAACTACGGCACCACTGAGAAAGGAGCAAACAGAACATTCCTGCCTCGTACCCAGACTGTCCAACCATTGACCATTACTCCTGTGACATCCTATTTCTGATACCACTCTGCTAAGAACTATTAGAGTTGCAATACAGCCTGATTTTCTGGCAATAGAGCCGTTGGGCTACCTGCACATCCTGCCTCTGGATTATTTCTTCTTCAAGAAGCAGAAACTTAACTGTCCTGCATCACGAGACACCTTTTGCCACCTGCCCCACATCCTATTCATATCTCAATTCTACAACCCACTGGGCCTAATGTACAATAACTGTTCCTCCCTCCTGTTCTCCCACATCTTTCCCTTGGCCTCCAAAAGAAACACCAACTTCCTGTCCCATGAATCAGAACTGCTGTCAAGATGCCAGTGCTTTGGTAGCCTCACCTACTTACTGATGTGGTGGTAACTAGTTATGCTTTACAGGCCTTGCAATTAACCTGATTCTTCTTCTGCTATGCATCTTCTAGCCTAGACTCTCATCTGAACTACTGAGCTCTACCTTCATCGTTTCTCCTGCATCTGGAGTCAGTCAAGCCTTGCCTTCAGTGGAGCTCTTCCCTTTGAGTGTGACAAGAAGCCACTGGGAGGGAGCCAGGTCAACCTGTCATAGTGTGGTCTGGCAGATTTTGGTTGTGGTGCTCACCTGCTTTTGGAATAGGTTGCTTGGGTTCTGGATCTGGTGGTTGCATGTTCTTCTATTCCTTTTCCTTCATCCCTGCACTAGTTTTCTGGCTCTTTTCAGCTCTTCAGAGACTGCTGCATAGTGTGGACTCAGCCCCAGGCTGGCTGTGTTGATTGCATTGGGTTGCCAACTTTCATACAAAAGTTGTGATTAACTGGATTCTTCCCCTGCCCCCACTGTGAACATAAAATATTAACGGTGGTTTTTAGTAATGAGTATGGAAGGATCTGACTTAATTGCAGGCACTGCGTGTTGGAGATATCCCTGCTACCAGTGCCCAGTTTAGTTTTTGTAGTTTAGGTGCAAGGATTAAACTGCTTTTATTTTCATTCGTTCCAATCTGACTCCACTGTGGTCTGGAGCCATGGCTGCTGGTGACTGGTCTTGAGTGTAAGCACTGCAGCAGAGAAATAGCTGGTTTTGCACTTGCACAGGCTGAGTGGTTTGTGTATTTTATGGCTGGGATGTTTGCTCTGTTCAGCCATTGGCCAGCAGCAAAGAGTGATGTAGAGCCCAAGAAAGCAAGGAATGTGGGTGGAAAAACCTCCCAACTTTCTAGATAACAGAGCCGGGTAGAAACCTTCAGTCCTAGAGGTAGTCTGGGCACAACAGATTTCCTGCTGCTGCATTTGCATTCTAGTTACCCTGGAAGTAGGAAGCAGTCTGGGAGAGAAGTGGACGGTCCTTGTCTGAGCCTTGATACAAGGTACTTGGTTGAGGGAACCTTTGCCTTACAGAAGTGGTCCCAGACCGTCAGTCCTATTCTTGCTGGATGGAGTTGGTAGGATAGTAGCTAGCTGTTCAAAGGCGTGACTTCGCTACCTACTCAACTTTTCTTCTGGCGAGAAAGGCCCATGCAGAGGAGCAGGGCCCCAGCAGTGGGTCCCTGCTGTGTCCTCCTACATGGATTCAACAGTGACTGGGGAAAGTAGATATGACTGGACAACTGATTTTTATGGAGGTCTGATGAGGCTTTGCTATTTTGAGACCCCTGCCCTCTCTTATGCAGATCCTTCAAGCTGACCTTTGCTATAGCAGAAGGCACCTTCTTAGCAGCAGAGCTTGCTAGCTTTCACAGTACAAAGTCTATTCTCTAACATGTTCTTACTTGTAAGATTCTTGTTTGATTACAGATGCCAATGCTGAGCAGCAAGTAAAAAGGGGCCCATGATGGGTTTCCTCTTTAATTGTTTTTTTTTGGTTTTTTTTTTTGTTTTTCCTGTTTTTAGCAACATCTTCCCACTGGAAGAAATGCATGTACAGATATAAAAGTCTAGAGAGTGAATATTTCTGTAATAAAGACTTTGCTAAAAAAAAATATATATTTAATCTCTGCGTATGTGTTTTGCATTGCAGTGCTTTCTCCCTCCTTCCCCTCAGCCCCCTTCTGCTTTACATGCAGATCACTGACACCTTGCTTTTTCAAGATAGCAAGGGCTCTGCCAAAAAGCAGGAAGTGTATGCCAGTATGATCTGAGGTCCTTGAAAACTTCTGGTATCTGTGGCTGAGATTGATGTGGACTACAAAGATACTGCCTGTCAGAGGGAGGTGGCAATTTTCGTGTATTCTAGAGTAAAATTTGTCTTGTTTTGTGAGGTGAGGCTGAGTTAGGGTCGGCTAAATGGTAATTTCTTTGAATCACCTGCCATCTCCTAGGTAAGTGGTGTCAGTATTTGAAGATACTGCTTCAGATCTATGTATTCTGTACTTTGTGGGGTCACACAACTCCAGAGCTGACTTACAAAACACACACCATACCTGTAGTGCATGCAGCTGTTGCTAGCCTAGCTTTTTTTTTTTTTTTTTTTTTTTTTCTTTCCCCTCTTCCTATTCACCTTCCTTAGGCTTCAGGCTTCTGTTGAAAAAGGTTTGTCAGTCTCTGCAAGGCCACTGAAGAGAAGGCAAGCTGTGGTGGCTATTTTGGTAAGCTAAACCTGGCAGCACTTCCCTGGGGCCTTCGATTCAGAGTGCTCAACTTAATGGAACAACTTCCAAGCTTGACCAGAATTTTGCTAGAACTGTTGCTGGTACCAAGGTTGGGCCCCAGGTGCCTGATCCCTGTGCAAACCACTCGCCTTTGGCCACTGGAGGGAGATGTTCTACCAAGAAAGCTCAGGCCCCGGTTCTGCAGTACCGGCAGCCTTGGCTGGTCCCTTGGGGGATGAGATGATGACAATGATCGCTTCCTTGTGTTCCTAGTTACTCCTGGCAGCAGGGTAGCTAAAATAACTTGTAATTACAATTGTATTCTCATAAACGATTTGTGCTTCCTGCTTGGCATTTTAGGAATAATTTTCCCATCCATCTCTTGGAGAAGTACACAGTTGGATATTTTGTTGCATGTCTTCTACTACTGTATATGGATTATGCTTCTGAGGTTTCTGCCCAAAGTAGCACGGGAAGTTGAAGATAGCAGGAGGAGCCCCTCCTACTGCTTTTCTTTCTTTTTTCCACCCCCCTCCTTGTCCACATCTTTTTCGTGTTTCCCTTTGTCCTTTGTTCCTTTGGGGATTGGCTGGGGGGAGCTGGAAGGAGCCATTTGACGCTTATGAATGTGTTCTGTAAAGGACTTTAAAAACAGACTTGATCTTCAGAGAGCAGAAAACCTGCTGCTACTCCCAAGGTGTGCACAAATCTTGGGCCAGCATCCTTTTCATCTCCTGGGATAAAGGTTTGCTTCTGGAACTAGAAACCAGAGCAATATACAGGCTTTTTCAAAGTTTTGTGTTTGTAGCAAAGCCGTGGCATCATCCTCTGCGGTAGCTCAGCACATGGAAGCATTTTGTGTGTAACTAACAAGCTGCTGTATAGATGTCCCATGCCAATAATTAATATTACATGAGTATTGTGACCTGCCTGTGGCCTGAAGTAAGGCCCCTAGTAATGGATTGGTGACATTCCTCGTTCTGCATGATTACAAGGAACTCAGAAGCTGCTATAATTCTTCCCATGAGGTATTTTTCCTTCTGGAGAAGGAAAAGGAATTGCATTAGAGTTAGCATGGGTAAGCTCGCAAGTCACAATGTATTTTTTTCTTTGTTAAGCTTTCTGTGTGGCACATACTCAAATGAAACATGCAGCAGCTGTTCTTTTCTCTGCAGCTCTCCCACGTGCTGTGGTGTGGCTGGTTCCTGCTGTGTTGGCTCGGGGATTGAGGATGAGTTTGGTAATAAGCTGAATGCTGGCTGCTGAAGGATGAACTTCAAGCGCTGGTGTCAGGCTGTGCCTTGGTTGTGAAAGGTGAGGAGCAGCAGCCGTAGGGGCTCATTGCTGAAAAGCCCAAGAACCATAGGATTCCCACAAATGCATTTTCACAGCCAGTTGCTGCCACTCAATGCCATAAATGGAGAACACACCCTCAATTATTCATGGTCTGGCTCTAGCCCATTAGCCTCTGAGACACTTGGCTCTAGCTCTGGCCTTTTATTGCAAAGAATAAACTTCAGTTAGCAGCCAGGATTTCTGTATAACATCTTAAACCAGGTTGATGCTAAAAACCTGTCAGTGTAAAATCTGCCAATTTGCAAGTCTTCAAATACTTGTAAGTATGCAAAAATCCCTAGCAAGAGCTGTGCTGTTGCTAAACCAAAACTATTAGTAAAATGTTGCTAGTAAAGTTTGTAAATATGCTTTAGGTCTTAGAAACCATTTCTAGGAGTTTGTGTGCTGGTAGAGCACATACAAATTCTTACCTTGCGGTAAGACTTTCTCCTGCCTAATGTGAGAAGCTGCCCTTTGCCTAGGTAAACTGACTGTCTCTAACCATACATTCTTATTTTTCATACATATGAATTCTGTTTTCTCCTCTCTAAGCTCCTAATAACATAATTGGCTGGATTGAACGTGTTGTTTTATTGGTACTCTGTATCTGGGGAAAACATTCTCAGTTCCCTACGAGAAATATTACCCATTTGAAATAGGGCCTTAAGAAAAGGATAGGTTCAAAGTAGTGCATAGATTCTCTAAGAGGCATAAAATCCAAGGGGAAAATCCTACATTAGACCCAGAGAAGGTTATTTGCACACTCTTCAATTTAATCTATCTCTGGTCTCTTCTTTCCTTTATCTCTCTTACAGAATCATGAGGTGACTTGCCTTCCCCCAGTTACAGAAAACATAGATGCCTACTGCTGTACCTACAATAGATCCCCTCTATAGAAAACCAGAGAAAGTTTCCCTTTCCTTCTATAGGCTTCCAGGAGATAGTAAATCCCATTCCTTCAGAATATTCCTTTGAGCAATGGCAGCTGCTCAGAGGTTATCTAGATATTGCTCTTTGTTCTGTGAGTGGTATTGCAATGTTAACCAGATTAGGAACTACTGTCTTGCAGCTATGTGAGGCCAATTTTCTGTTTCTCGAGACCTAGATCAGATCTAGATCTTCCCTGGGATCCCATGTCCTCACTGTACAGCTGTAGTTGCAGACCTTGCTCATTATGTGACTCTTGCTGCACTACCTGCTGTTCTTAAACCTGAATTGTGTCCACGTTGTCTCTTGTTGTCCAAGCAATTTTACTGGAAGTTCTCAGTTTGTAGTTACTTCTGGATCTTCCTGCCTTGGTCTCAGGTAACTAACTCCAAAACAACAGTTGTGACAGTCTCGTGTGTTCCTCTGATCTCCAGCTCTTTCTCTTCTTTTCATCCAGCTTAGAGTTGCAGATTGGACGTATGGAAGTTCTTCAGAGACAGTAAGATTCCTGGAGTGTGTGATAATATGAATTGCTTACCCAGCATGCTTCCTTGGTATTTTGTACGTAGCACTTCTGGAAGCTATTTAGAATTTACTAGAGTGGAAATGTGAAGTCCTGTCAAGACCACGTTATAGTACAGGCGTGTGTTTTGGGCACTGCACTTACAAAATGATGTCAGAAGAGTGTAACTCATGTGGAGATGTCTGCAGACAGCCTGGAACAATAACCCAGCAGAGAGCAGATCTTTAATTTTGGCAGAGGCTGTTCCATGATGCTCTTAAGAATCTGGAAAATAAGTTGTCCTTTAAATACCACGTTGTAATTAACTCTGGTTTGGACTGGTTGAAAATCCTTTTGGCAAAGCAGTTTTTCTTTGAAGTGTATAGGTTCATTTAAAACAAAATGGGTTTTGTTGTTGTTGTTCTGCTTAAACAGAACTGAAAGAAGGTTGAAAACATAAAATGGGGAGGTTTCTCCTGCTTTCTTAGTTGCTACTTCATGGTAAGCATTATGTAAAAGGGCTGGAGATGGACAGAAAAATGTCTTTCAAGTAGAAACGTCCAGTGCCCAGGAAATATTTTAAAATATTTCAGTGTCTTGTGAAGAACTTGAACCCAGAAATAGTGCGTGATGGGGATTCATTGCTGGGAAAGATCCATGGGATCCTGGATACCCATTGAGGAAGAGACGGGGGCTGTTCTCAGGGTTGTGTTAGTGATGGGTTTGTCACGGACTGGCTTGCAGGGGTGCATTGGATATAGTATCTAAAAATAACGAAAGTTTATTTTTAAAATAGTATGCTACAAATGTGAAGCATGAAGCCTGCAAGAAAGCAGTGTTGCGATTTAAAGCCATGGAAATAGCTGGGAAATCCCAATCTAAAATCATCAAAGCCTGACCTGAAATAAGATCACATCTGAGGTAAACCCATCTGTGTGCTGCCCTGTGGCACTGTTAATCTGAACATCACATGTTATTCCCACTGCGAACGTTTAATTAGGTGTTTTCTGTGCTGAAGGGAAGCTGGTGAGGAGGGAAGGGATCTCAGTTATGAAATCAAATCTGAAAACGTGATATCTTGATACCTCAGTGCTGTGGCAGAAATTTAAAGGCACAAAAATCACAGGTTCCTGCTGCCACTACTGTTTATTATGTGGGAGCGGCCTGGTGCCTGTGTTTGTGCTTGCACACGGCCTGCTATTTCATGGGAGATGGCACTTTCAACTCCCGGATGCCTTGCAATCATATAAAATCACCAACTTCAGGGCGGGGCCATGTGGAAATCTCTAGAAGTTTCTGTTGGATCAGCAGCATGAGGACAGCTGGTCTGAGCAGAGGAGCGGCCACTGGCGGAGAGCACTGCTTTGTGGAGTCTAGGAAGGCAGACAGGGCCACTGCAGGGATGGCCTTGACTAGCAGGAGCGTGGCTTGGCTCTGTCATCTCCTTCAGAAGATTCAGCATGGCGGCATCAAAGCCTCACTTCTCTCTTCTGTGAGGCATCAAGAATGGAGCTGCGAGCAGGGGCAGGTCCTGCCTGCGAGGAGATGTGCCCAAAGGTGCCTCAGGAACAGGCCCTGCCTGCAACGCAGCAGCCTCAAGCCGTGACCTGCGGTGCAGCCAGGTAGGTG